AAACAACTACAATTAATAAAAGCTGTGACTTTTTAGGTACTGTAACGCATAGTAAAAGAGACTGATTTTTATTGCTGTGAACAAAGTACTGTTTAATGTAATGTTTTTGTTGGTTACTGGTAATAATAATAATAATGTTAATAATAATATTAATAGTAATGATAATAATAATAATAATAATAATAATAATAATAATAATATAATAATAATAATAATAATAATAATAATAATAATAATATAATAATAATAATAATAATAATAATAATAATAATAATAAGACAATAATAATAAATTAATTTTGAGATTTTTCGGAATCAGTAATAATAATAATAATAATAATAATAATAATAATAATAAGAACAACTATGTAGTTGAATACAAATCTTACATATTTGATTCAATTAAACATAAGGTTAACATTGGTTGGCAGTTTGCCAATTAGTGGTTCTGCGAACACTTTTAAGCGTATCCAAATAAAGATTTTAAAACGGTTTTGTAATTTGGTAATTTCTTTTTTTTTTTTCTTGCATTATTAAAACAGTTCTTTTTCTTTTTTTTTAGGCAGTTCAGTAGCAATACAATCATTTTAATTTGTTGATCAGATTTGGTAAAATAAGACTAATTTTTCTGCTCTTTTCTTTTGCTTTGTTTTTTCAGCAACTTGAGTTTAACATAAAAATCATCTGTCAGAGGTGTTAACGAAAGAACACATTTAGTAATGCAAAGACAATTTTTGTAGCAAATTTTGTTAACTGAAGTGAATAGTGGCCAATGGGCTCAATCATCAAACTTTTCATGCTGTTTTTGCTGAAAAAAAAAAAAAATAATAATCTCACTGACCATTGTTCCTATCGTTCATGTTAAGTTTTTTTTTTTTCTCCTTCTATAATTCTAAATTAAATATTCTAAAAGAAGAAATAATAGAAGCACCTTAACGTATTTTGTCGAAAAGAGTTTACTAACTTTGTACTCAACAATTATTGTAGCGATTAAACAGTAACAATTATGTGGACTATAAAAGTGTAAAAAGGTGTCGAGCTACTGAAACAGTGATCAAACAAATCAAATGCCAAAGTTTAAGCTTGAGATCATCCAGTTACTGACAAAAAAAAAAAATTTTATTTATTTTTTTTTTTTGCTATAAATCTTGCTTTCTAAACAAAAATTTATATACTGCATCAGTAAAAGCAAAACATTACAATATGACCTGAATTCAGAAAAATGACCACATTTTTTTCCCCATTTCCTCCGCACCGCTACTTGTTGCATCCGCGGAACACCTACCATTAATACCAAAGCGGTTCCCAGATAAAAATGTCAATTCGGACTTGCTAAATGTATGTTTTCAAACCATTTAGCGTAATAAGACAGAAAATACCAATTAACTAGACAGATTTGTTGTTTATTGAAAATCTAATTGCCGTTAAAACACTGCGGTGTTCCTCAGAAAACGTCTACCATATTTAGGTGTCAAAACGTTCTTTCGTTCCTTTTTTTTATTTATTTTTTTTTCACTCAGAAATTAACAATTTTTCAACTGTATCACATCGGTTAACAAAAAGGGAAAACAAGTCAAAGTATTTCTTCGTTTTTTTGTTACAATAAGTTTCTTTGCTCACACCTGCAATTTGAGCATCAAATGAATTTTCAGAAGTTTTACACGCTTTTTTTTTTTTTCTGGAAGTAAATTAGCCTAACATCAAATTAGTTTGACGTTGATACCGTTTCACGTTTCAATAAAATTTAAGAGCTTGAACAAAAAACTTAATATTTAGTAAAAAGATCTTCTTCTTCTTCAAGTTAATAAATCAGCATAAAATTCCTTTTCTTCTAAAATTTAACTATCAACGCTGTTTGTTTTTTAAAACAGTCAAAATGTTTTTTTATTCAATAGCTATCATCAAGAAATAATACACAAAAAAAAAGAGGATTCCAAAAAGATGGAGAGTGTAAATATTATATCGCTCTCAAACAATCTAATAAATCTTATGCTCATCATTAATTTGGTTATAATGTTTAGTCACTTGAGTAAAACTTTAATAGAACATAAAAGGTAAAGCTAAAAAATAAATATCGAATTTTTTTTTACAATCATATAACACTGACAAAAAAAAAAGAGTCGATAGTATACAATGAGTACAGTTTTTAAAGCACAGTATGGACAAATACTGGTTATTCAGTTCAGAAAAATCTAATTTTATTGTCACCGGTCGATAGAAAACCATCAGAAAAGAATCTTTGCCCGAGATCCATAACCAATTTTGACATCAAACTTCCGCAACAACTGATATCAGCAAAAACAAGAAGAATTTAATAACTCCTAAAAGCAGTCGTCTTCGTTGAACATTACTATAGAACCTAAAAAACAAATATTTGGGTCATTCCATGCCAGTTGGCACAGTTTTTCTACTTCAAAATTTCGAACTCTTCTTAAATGTTGCTGCTTAGTAGAGTTTAGTTCTGGATATTCAAAAAAAAAAAAACTAAAAAAAATTCAAAAAATTATATTTTTAGACAAATTATACTGCTCAGAACTGGAAGAAAAAATCCGAAATTTCTGCTCGACTTACTCACCGTCTCAAAGTTGTCAATTGGCCCAATCTTGATAAACTGTATCATTTTTTGATTCATCAAACTCGCGTATCTTCTACAGTTCAAAATCTATTACAAAAATTTATTTGATCAAACAAGTCAATAGATATAAAAAAAAGATCAGAAACAAATTAAGAAATGTTTTTTTAGACTATAAAAGGAATACATTATTGTATAAAATTTTTTTTTTGCATTATAATGCTTCTTCAATTATCAATGTCTTCTTGACAATTCAATAGTTATACACTAAAAAAACCAGGATGAGGCTTAATGATATTTGTTGTTGTTATCACTAAAAATTATTTGATACTCACAACAATTCACTTTTCAGCCTTCAAAAAGAGATTCTGTATCTGACGACGATTTTGGTGTTCTGAACCGTGTCTGATTACCGTAACGACAATAAATTTTTGTCAGTCTCATCTCAACGTGTTTAGCGCAAAACTTTTGAGTCTGTCAGAACAAAGTTACCAAATTTTTGATATAATTAAAATCAAAACATTTTACACCAAATGTTATTTTTTTCAGACTTTTCTAGATGTTTTTTTCAAATTCATTTTTAGATTTTTACTTTTTGTCTCAAGTATCTGCTTATTTAATCAAATTCAAAAATGTATTACATTACCAAATGCAAAAGATACCTATATCTAGCAAAACGAAAATTGTTATGTTTTATTAAGGTTTCATTGAACCAAAAATGTCAAAAGATAAGCAATTTGAGCAGAAACCCATAAAGTTTTGTACATTTTACAGGCACCTAACTTTGCCAAAAATTATTGTTTTTTAGACCTTTTTCTTCAGATTTTTAAATTCAGAAATAAATTCTATTTATCAACAACATAAGAAAAAAATATTAAGATATCAAGTATAAAACAGGTGTATAGCCTGGCATGAAATGGTCTATTCAAAACAATAATTAATTATCTTTTAAGAAATCAAGAAAAGTTTTTTTAAACAGATTGTCAATAAACCAAATTTAGTTATTAAAAAAAAAAAAAAAAAGAAACCTTGCGAGTGTCAATTATGTCGTCAGATTGTGCTGCCAATGACATCAGAGAAGAATAACGGCAATTAAGAAACGCTAAAAAGTAACATCTGCAGCTTAAACTTTTTTTAGAATTTTTAATAAATTTAATTTAATTAAATACCAAATGGTAGTATTTTAGATACTCTTTTTGTTTCTTAAAAATGAATTAAAATAGTGCTACATGAGTGAGGAAATATTACGATTGTTTACCACTTGTAAAAACCTTCACTGGTGTTCTACACACAGCATTCTGTTTGAGGACAGTTTAATAAAATAAATAATTCAAACTAAAAAAACAAAAAAAAAAAACAAAAAGTTTAGAAAAAAATATAATTTAAGATTTGAAAAAATTTTCTACGTAAGTTATAAAAAAACTTATCTTTCTCTTTTTTTTTTTTTTTGATCAAAACAACTAAACATACGTGCTTTGTGACCTTTCGCTGGAGTACTACAAAACATATGTTGTCGACGGCAACTTTTGAATTCGTTATAACTATTAGAACACATAGAATTTTGGTGATCTCTAATATATAACCTATAAAGCGATTAATTATTCAAAATATTTTTTAAACTTTAATTTCTACTGTTTAAATTACCTTAGAAAGCAGTAAGAAAACATACCTCTCGTCAGGCGAAAATGTTAGCATATAAAACGACCTTGGAAAAGTTAGTTCTGTAAGAATGCATGTTAATTATGGCTAAGTATAACTTACAAACACAGTATTTAAATTTAAGGGCAATAATTTTTGGCATAATTCAAGTAAAGAATTGCAAGAAAAAAAAGCTGCTCTGCACTGTTTCTAGTTTTTTTATTGCAAATCAATCTTCTAATTTTGAAAAATGTTGCTTATTATAAGGAACTGTTTACAGACTCTCTGAAATTGAAGTACTGTACAACGGGGCAACGTTTATACTTTTTTCGTTACAATTCTCAAGCACAGATCGTAGCGAAGCCGAGTCCTGATAACGATTAGAACAATTGTAGAAAACATATTTTTTTACATCTATCAGTAATACTGACTCAATAAAGTTAACGAAGAAGTAAATTTAAAACTAATTGTATTTATTGACTACACATCTGGCTAATTACAAAAGGTAGTTAATTATATAGCCACTAAATAGTTCTAAAGGCTTTTAGAAATCTTAGTGTCACCTCTTCTGCTTCTCAAAAATAAGCCAAATAAGATGGTTATGAAGAAAAGTCAAAGAAATTAATTACGTACTATCACCCTAAAATAACATTATTTTCTGCTATAATCCTTTCATCGTTTACCCAAAAAAAACAACAAAATCGAAAAGAAAAACACCTTTTAACCACGCTGCGGCATCAACTAAACTCTTTCTGACCTTTTCTAAAAAAAAAAAACAACGAGTTTAGAAGTTACTTGAGAAGAATTAGTTGATGACGAACTTGAGTGCAAAGTAAAATTAGTAGCATCTATCAACATTTTTCGTTCCAAAGCGTCGTTCAATAGAGACGGAGTAACAGCAAAATTGGAATTTTTCAACAATTCCTGGAAACAGCACTTCACCAGTTGCAAGTGAAACTTTTTCAGAAGATGACATAGTTGTTATTCTTTTTTCTCATTTTATTCATATTATGCCAAAATATACTAAAAATAACAAAAGAACTGAAAAACTTCACAAAAAAATAAATAACCTGTTCACAAAGTAGAAACTCAGAGTCGTCTTTAGCAAGTAAACTTTTAACCAGGCGTTCCTGCTCGTGAAGACCATAAGAATCTTCAAGCCAAAATTCACCTTCTTCATCACGCAATGACGTTTCAGTTTCAGAATTTTCTAAATTGAAATTTTTAAATTAGTTTTATAAAAGATAAATCAGCTAGCTGATTAATCTCTTTGTCATTTTTTCAATTAAAAAAATACGAAATTTTGTCAAGTTATAAAGTTTTTATTCCCACTCTCACTGTTTGGATAAACAAATATTACCCGTATTCAAATAGGGCTGTTCGAAAGCAGTTTTATTCTTGAAATTCACAGCTGACGAGTGTATTCCAATCTTACTGACCTAAATCAGGATAAACTTATACAGTTTTGTTTTGTTCAAAAGAGGAAAAAATAATCGAATGTTTCTTTAAACTAACCATGTTTTCAATGGTATTCAAGCTGAGGTTTATGTAATCGTCATCCAGCCAGAATTCTTCTATCAAAAAATAAATGCAAACCAAAATGAGATACACACACATTTAAACAGTTGTAATCTTTGCAAAATAACGTAAATTTGCCAAAGTTTAATACAGTACCAAACTAGTCACTTTCTCGAACTCAAATTATTTTACTGATTATAGAACTGACATTGTGTAATACAGACAATATAGAATGAATTATATTTTTACTTGATCCTAACAAATTCTGAGGGGTTGACGGAGGAGTCACAGCTATCATCGGGATGTTTCTAATGTTTGGAGTAAAAGTGTGCTGATAAACCTCAACCTTAAAAACGACAAATGGTTTTATGCATTTTGCAAAATAAAATGCAAAATTTAAGATATTAATATAAACACTGAAAATGCTGCATCAAACAATAATTGATTATATTTTGAGTTTTATTTCTCTAATCTTTTGTTTTTGCAAACTTTGTCTGGCTGCTAACGTTGCCTACACAGATAAACACGCTAAAAATCAGCAGTTAATGATAAAAATAAAGAAAAAGCAAATATCTAACCTTTTTTAAGAATTCTTGAAACCGATGTGTAGTTGAGCAAACGCCACGTTGAATACCATCTAATATTAGCGTAAAAAGTGGTCGCTAAAAATAGAACCTAGTAGACATTTGTAGCAGATGTTGCATATTATAAAATTTTATCACTTTATTGGTACCGATCGCCTACTCTATTGTTATATCATTACAAAAGAAGACAATGCTGTCTTGAAACTTTAATCTTACAATTTTAAAAGATTTGGGAAATAACATCTGACACTAACGATTTGATAAGAGAAATTTGAGACATATTTACAAACAGTTACCTCGCCGAGTATTATTTCCACCACATAATCAAAGTATTTAGGACGTAACTCTCGAACTAATTTCAAAGTGCATACAGAACATACAAAAACTGCAATTTTGCATAAGACAACAAATAGTTTTAATTAAGAAAACATCTATGTAAAAAAAATTTTACAATATCAAGTAGCCTAATTCAATAATGACATTCGAAATTTTTGTATTTTGTCTTTTTACACATTTCATTTTCTCATTAGACTGAACTAGAAAAATAAGAATTGCAGCCATCATTAAACCAACGATTAAAAACACTTAGTTAATTAATTAAGAAAAGAAAAGGTGTTTGGATAAATTGTCTGAACACTCAAACATTAAAAAGAACTACGTTCAAACAGTCAAATATTAACTGCTGCAAGAAACCTACCTATTAAAGACGTTAATTTTGTTACACCAATACGATGTTCTATTAGGCTCTGAATCATATTGTGGAAAATAAGTATCAACGAACAGATATTTCTATTAGAATTGAAAGGCATTTGTTACGGGATAAGGTAATAACTGAAAAAAACAAACACTATTGACCATAGACGTAGCCAAATTGAAAGACATCTTTGTCGGAAGATACGACTTTTACTTTTTAGCAGAATATCTTTTAATAAGCGTTTTAATGTGATAACAGATATGAAAGATACACTTTTTTGTACACATATTTACATCTATTGTAACCATTTTCAGACAAACAAATACAGCTTCTTATCGGTAAATACATCTGATGAGATTTAAAAAAACAAAAAAGATAGTTTTAAAGTCTGATATTACTGAAAAATATAAATTATAGAACTGTGCAAGAGCATCACAAAAAAAGACGTTTATGATCTTCTGTATCGCATAAGATTCCTTGCTGACGGCTTCTATAAGTACAAAAAAATTTTGACATTGTTGTGCGATTTTGAATAATATACATGATCTGCAGTACAGGTAGATGTGTCGATGATGACTGTTTAATCGTTATGCAACTATCAAATTCAATGACTTAAACCAGATGTTAAATTATCGAAGAGCAGTTGACAATATAGTTAACTTCAGGTAAAAAAAAACTAAAATCTACTGAGATTAAAATACACAATTATACAAAAAAAGAGGTATTTCTTTACAGAAACTCTATCGCTCTGTATTTAAAGTAGCTTTGATAAAAGTTTGGTATCAAATTTACCTTTAATATTTCTAATCATTTAAGGAAGAAGAAATGCTGCAAAATCAGCAAAAAAAATGTGCCAAAAGCAACTTTCAAAAGCTGTAAAGAAGTTATTTAATCAGTTAATGAAGTAAAAAATAAAGTTTTTACACAATTACGATAAAACTTTTTCTAATTTACAAATTGTTCTGTATTTCTTAAATGAGCAGCAACAATGTTGTTCAGAATATAAAATTAGTTTGCCTCTCTGTTTTTAAGCTTTAAGCTATCACCTTTTTACTTGAAATAACTGCAGTTCTGTATTTAATATTTACACCAAATATAAACTGTAAAGTAGTTTTTATTAGATTTACTACTGCTGTTTAGAAATTACCTCTTCTGAGCCGTTGTTTTAGCAATTCACTTCGAGCGTTGCTCAGTGACTATTCTTGTATCTATTTTACACCAAAAAATTGTTTTTTTAACTTTTAATTATTGTTGTTAAAATATTTGTAGGCAGACAGAAAAACTATTTTTTTTTAATTAGCTGAGAAGTGAACTTCACTGACTGAGAGTTAAATTAAAAAAATTTTACTGCAGTAGTAAATGCTCAAGAGTCAAATGTAAAAGCAAAAAAAAGCGAATAAAAGAGAGTTAGGAGAGAAGAAAATTATATTTCGCTAAAAAGTTGTTTCTTTTTCTTTTGAAGCCATTAAAAAGGTCTAATGAATCAGTGAGAGTGACGCTAACTTTGGGAACATGCTACACTTTACAGGCTGATAATTGACTGTCCATCAGTAATCCGACCCTTCCTCTGAAGCCATTTGTCCCGGCCTAACCTTTTCTGTGTCAAACAACTTTTAAAAATATTACCTTATTCTGGTTGAGGTAATCTTCTGGAAACTGTTACAGTCTGCTGCTATATGAAAGAGTTTCTGTTTACGTTTTTGCCGTCGAATCAGTCGACTGTTCACCTGTTTATGCGGTTTATTGTCGTTATAGCCGTTGCTTCCTTTTGCGCGTGGCTTCTACTTCAGTTTTTTAGGGTTTCCTAATTTGAACTCATTGTAATTTATCGATTTGAAAGGCTTCAAATGCTACTCGTCTTAAAAGAACTATAATTGTACAGTCAAAAAAAAACTTATTACAAGGCAAAAACATGTGTCTAATGGCAACAGAAAAAAAGAACAATAAGAGCATTTATGTATGTTTTAAAAAGCGTAAAAATTTGTCATGAACAAGAAGAGAAATATGCAACAAATGGAAACCAATTTTTTGCATGGATTCAGCATATGAATGTTTAATTAACCGGCATTTTACTGGTTGCTTAGTTTAGCGTTACTTGGGTCATTCCAGACAGATGACTATGCCTTCTTCATACAGGTATTATTCTGTAAAATTTGAAAAGAAAATTTTTTTAAAAATATTTTTTCTACATTAAAAAAAATTATGTATATTTTTGTTTACTCAAAAGCGTTGAAAAAAATACAAAGAAGTGAAGTTTCAGTATTGCAAATTATTTTAAAAAAATATTATAGTCGATGAATAAAAATAACTTCAGAAAATTTGATTTTTTTTCTAACACCTTGAAAAAAAAATTTATTAAATTTATGTAGAGGACTGAAGAGCTTTCTAAAATTTTATGTAATTTCACACTGTTTTGCTTCTTTTTTTCAAAGGAAAGTATAGAGTTCAAGGGCCAAGAATGTAGCAATTGACACGAATGCATGAAACATATACTCGCCACCACTTAGTTCCATCTATAATCATTTTGTAGAAAAACTTTACACCACGTTCAAGACCTAGCAATAGCTCGGGTTAGCAGAATACTAAGACTATTGCTTCAATGGAGAGGTGGCATATGGAAGTCTGTTTATTTTGACTTGATTTTATGGTTTGTTGGCTACACTATTATAGCTGTGATCTATCGAACCGCATTATCGTCACAGCAGCAAAGGTAAGCGAAGCCTCAAATTGCTGTATAACGCCTGAATGAAATCTTCTATTATCAGCTTCAGAAATTAAATTTTTTTATTTATGTATATTTATATTTCATTTTAATTTAACATTCTAAAATAGAAATTACTTTTACATTTGTTGACCATTTTCTTTTTGTTTTTTTTTCTTTTTTTTTTAGTGTTTTAATTCTGAACAGTTTTATGAATCTAAATTTTCTGCTTTAACAGGAATATCTAATTAAAAATCAAATGTTTTTTTTTTCAGGACATTTGAAGCTGTTGTAAAATTTTGTAGCAAATATGACAGCTATATACCATTAGTATTCATGCTTGGCTTTTTTGTGGAATCAGTAATACAACGATGGTGGGTAGCTATTGAAAACATAGGAATAACCGACGAGTTGGTTAACAGTTATAAAATTTTTCAACAAAAAATTATGCTATTATATTTAAAAGTTTATGCCGTTTAGACTGTAAATATAAAAAGTTCATTTTTTTGGAGTGAAATGTTCAATAATGTTTTTGCTTTCTTAAAGTTATTCTGCATCGTACAGTTTATATAACAAAAATTCTCAATTGTCGTAAAAACATAAATTAAATTTTAGCATGGCATTAACCATTGCTAACTATCTGCGCGGTGTTGACGAGATGTCGATACGTTACAAGCGAACTATTGTAAGATACATGTGCTTATTTCAAGTGCTTGTCTATCGTACCGTCAGCAGTGCTGTCAGAGAGAAGTACCCAGATTTTGAGAGTCTTGTTAGAAGTGGTATCAATAATCAAATTTCATGATTATACTCTCTAAATTTTTAATTACATAATTAGCAGCAAAGAAAGATAAAACTCTTTTTACCAAAACAAAAATTTAAACTTATGTTTATTGACTATTTTTTCTTCTTTAATAACAATGAAAAATAGTTGATAATCATAAATTTCTCTGTTCGTCTCAAAAAATTTGATCAAACAACAGTGGCCATGAAATACCTTTGATTTTAATGCAACATACGCAAAAGCATAAATACTTTTTGAACATCAGGGTATCTGCTACCGAACGAAAAAAAGATGTTGTCTATACATGACCTCTGGATTCCAATTCAGTGGTCTTTGCAGTTGACTACAAAGGCTCGTGCTGATGGTCTTATAAAATCTGATTGCTATTTAAGCCATATTTTTGACACTTGCGCAAACCTGAACACAACACTGCGAATTGTTTGGCTTCAGTCTTGGATTAATATTCCTCTTGCCTACACCCAGGTTTGGCATTGGTATAAAAGTTACCTTTTCCAACAGTTAGACAAAAAGCTACATAGTGCTAGTTCTACACTACCTTCAACAGTATGTGTAGCTCGTTTATGTTAATAAAAGTCATTTTAGAAAAAGTAAAGTTAAACAAATTTTTAATTATTTTCGCATTTTTATTATGTATAAAAGTAGTCTGTCGTAAGCATCAGAAATGCAGCTAAAGTAAAGTCGTAAGAAGTATAGTGGTTTTTTGACTATATATTTTTAGGCTTTAGTCTTGACTTGCTGTAAATTAGTGTTACTAAAGCCGTTTTAAGCTAAATAACTTTGATAAGGTCAGATTTAGCAAGTGTTGGAACGAAACTTCTCAATAACTCAGTCAAAAGCGAATTATTCCAAAAAACATTTAGCGTGAGTTCGATTCTACATAAAGCTTAAGCTTCGGTCAGTACTAAGAACGAGAAAATCAAAATTTTACAGCTCGTGTTTTTTCTCTTTTACAGATAGTATTTATTATCGTTCGACTGTATTTTGCATTTGCTATGGTCGGCGAACAAGTTCTAATAACCGATTCTGAAAATGCTAGTTTATTAATGCGATCATTTTGCTGACAAATTAGTTAAAGCAAAAATATTGCTATTAATATCACTATTACCCGGACGTATTCACCAGTTTACACGACACTGAGAGGGAGAAACAATTAATTGCTTTTCCAGAACTTTTGTTTAAAATTTAGTTAAAAAAGTTTTATAGATTTAATCGCAAAAAAATATTTCAAAGTAGTCAAAAAATAAACGTTTTACTCTTATTTTTTTGCTGGTAATGAAAACAGCTCGTTCTTAATTGCTTTATTCAACTTTAGTCCAGATTTTATCTGCCGGTATCGACAATACTTTCATTTATATTTTACTTTGGATGGTTAAAGGTAACACTCAAATATTATATAAAATTTTTTTAATTGTAGTATTTTTGGAAAGTAATAGCAGTGTTGTCAATTACAAATAGAGTTTTAGTTTAATTTGCTAATTTTAAAGGTACGCTTGATGTTAAGAAGGACATCAATGTCTTTTTTTTTAGGTGGCTGTGGCGCTACTGAACCCATTTGGGTCAGACGATCATGATTTTGAAACATTGGCACTGCTGGAAAGAAACAAAGCTGTGAGCAAATTAAATAGATTTTTTAAAACACAAAAATAAGATTTCAAATTATGTTGAATTTTTGTAGGTAGCAATTTCTATTTTGAACTACAAATACCACGATTCACCAATTGGTGTTAATAACCCTTAACAAGAAAAAAGCATTGCTTCCGACAGCAAAGATGACAAATAAAATTCGTGCTTCAGCTACATATAAATTAACAACCGATTTTAGAAAAAAATCAAACACTGTCTGTTTGAAAGCTTTACGTATCAATATCAGCTTTTGGTCTGCAGGTTGACTAGAAATATTCTAAAATCTTTTTCAATTAGTTGTGTGCAAAATATTCTATTAATGATTAACCAAATGATACTGTTTTTATATGAGAACTTACTTTAACGCTATATTTTCAGTTGTCAAACTGCCGTATTTTTTCTTGATCTTACTGTGCTTCGTATTTGCTTTATAGACGATATACTATTGCTGCAATGCTAATAAAGCATCTTTCTTTTAAGCGGTGGCAGATAACAACATTAACTGCTTAGATTTTTGCATAAAGTTAAAAAGACTAAACTACAAATTTGAACAGTAGAAACCGCAAATTTTCAGGTAAACTGATAGTTATCAATAACCAGACGCAGTGCCTTTCACAGATTTACTGGTTTTTGTATCTCGTTTCAACTAGATAATGTCGATAGAATGTAGTCAACAGGTTTATTTGCACAACATAATGCAGCTTATTGTGGTAGAGAAAAGAGTTAAAAATAAAAAAAAAATTTTTTTTTCTGCGAGCGAAAAGAGGTTTAATTAAAAAGTTAAGACAAAAGACGATAAAACCTTTGTTTATCAGACTTACTAATACTCGAATAGGAAATTAAATAAAGAGGGACTGAAAGAAGATGTACAAAACTGTAGCAGTTACAGACTGATACTACCTTCCATATTTTTATTACCAATTTTGAAAGTGCAATTTTCTCACACTTTTTGAGACACATAAAAAAATATATGAAAAAAAAAAATTATAAGCTAATTTTGACTGACTAAAAAGTAACGTAGTTAAGGATAATAGTACAAACGTTTATCTCGGTCTTTCTTTCCTTGTCTTTTTTTCTGCTTGCAGTAGCCAGCTTTAGTTATGCATTCATTTAAAATTGTCATGAGGGTTTTGCAACAGGCGGTGAAAAGCAATAATTTATTTGTTACCTCTAATTTATATAATTGAACCTTGTTGAGTTTTTAGTATTTTTTAGACTATGGATATGAGGAAAGTATCGTAGTATTGCAAATATATAAAGTAACAACAATAAGTAACAGTTTAAGAAACAGCAATTCTGGAAAAAGCTTAAAAGAGCAAATGAACAAAACTAATAATTAACAGTCATTGAGGTGCAAAAGGTCGATATACATCAATACATCAAGTCCTTTCACATTCGCTACTTTTATAGTCCTTCTCAGCAACCGTCGTCTCTCAATCATTTTGACCTTTCTTCAATCTTTTATTTTTTTGATCTACAATCTTAAAGCTGCCGGTGAGCTTCTTCTTTTGTTTTCTTCTATTTCCTGGTCAAGATTATCTATTACTGCTACTGGTGTACGACAATGATAATCTTCTATGCTGGAGGTATTCAAATCTGTCTGTTCCTCTTCGCTTTTCGGCAGTAATCGTAGTTTTTCTTACATTATGACAAATCAAATTACTTTTTGACAGCTTAAATAACAGCAATTTTTTTTAATTATTATTGCTTCAAATCTTTATTTTAAATTTTTTTGATCACAGTCAACAAAACTGCTTTTTAAGCTGCAGTTTCACAAGATAATTCTTTATCGCAGATCAAAGTAGGCAATTGCCCTTTTAAACTTTAATAAAACTGCCACTACAGTTCGGTGACAAATAATGCTGTATTTTGGTTGCTTCAAATAGTTCAGTTAACACTAAACTATATTTAAATTGCACACTAAATTATGTTTTTCCAAAAAAAAAAAAGCTGAAAAGTTTTAACACGCACTGTACTAACACTGCTGTTTGGTAAGAACAGATTTTTTCATTTTACAGTTGTCAGTTTAAATTTAAAATAAACGTCATGTTTATTTAATAAAAATTTTAATCAGAATAGGGCAAATTTTTGGTAACTAAGTGTTGATTATTCTAATGAAATATTCTTGAGATCAACAAGTTTTTTTAGAATAAAGAACCACAGATAACTGATTCAATTGAACAGAGGGTATCTGCCTCTGTCTTTTTATTTTCTTTTATTGTTCAGTCACATAAACTAATTCAGAATTTTCAGTATTTAAAACTATCAAATCTTTTACTCCAACTTTTGAATCTTGATAATTTTTTTAATTGTTTCGTTTAAATAGCATAAACAAAACTATTTTAGCAAACCAGAAGCTTTAGCAGAACAGCAGAACTGTTTTTTTAAACCGCAGTTTTTACTATGCTAAAAATTAGTTCCGTTTAATAGATAGCCAAATAAATTTTCAACAATTTTCAGATTTCAAACTGGTAACATAAAAGATAGACAGAACAAAGGGTTTCAAAATGCAACCAAATAACTATCTTATAGGAAAAGCAGTTAAAGAACACAGTTTTAAAATCAATTTTCTTTTTTTTTTTTTTTATAAATTTTAGGTTTTTGAAGTAATCAAAAAAAAAAACGATTATTTATTTTTATTTTTATTTCTTTGTTTGATCGTCATCAAAATGTATGTTAATTTTTTTTGTTTTTTTTTTTTTTT